ATATATTATTAGGACTTGCCCTGGGTTATATATGTCCCTGCTCCTGCAAATACAGCAGGTGCTTCACATGGCAGAGTTTTCATGGCAGAGTTTTCACGTGGCAGTTTGCATTCTAGTCTTGCCCACGAAAATTTCTTCAGACTTCACATTTTATTCAGGAGAAGAGGGGAAATACAGAAACTTGGTAAAGTACTCAGCCTTCTGAAGCAGAAGCAGGTAGCAAACTACACTACATCTCAAAACAGATTTATTAGGTTTATTATTCTTTCATGTATTAAACCCCACTTGAAGACAGTTATCTGTTACCTAAGAGACGTGAAACTATGGTAGTGCCTGAGATTTTAATTTACTCTTTTGCAATTTTCTTCTTTTAATTATGTTTGAAATAGAGAAAATAGCTTCCATGGTGGTTTCTGGGACAAGTTTTCACTGAAAGGATGCAAAAAAGAGCAAACAGTTGACAAGAGTAGTGACAAGACACCCAGATAATACTGTCAGTGCTAACTTGCTCCATGATTCTGGTTGTGTGTCATGTATAAGCACATAGAAAAAAAGGATCTGCTTGTTCATAGCAAGCTTATTGCCCCTTGATGGAAGTTTTAAAAATACTTTAAAAACTGTTTAAAATCGGAAGGATTTTTTTCTTTTTAGTATGCTGGGTGTAACACCAAATAAACCTGTACATGCCACCACACAGAAGGTGGCAATATGGTTATTTATTTTAATCTGCATTTAAGATTAAAATCTTGTTTTATTTCCCTGAGTGTTCATCCATTAAATCAATAAAATTAAGTAAACTTTTTTGAAAATAGTCATGGCTTTGCTTTAAATTTTGTTTCCTTCTTTTAAGAAAAGCAGATTTATTTAATTCCTTTTTCTCTCAAATATCTGTGATATTTGAGAGAAATCTGCCTGACTCATCTAGGCTGCAATACCTAGCCCTAGGCAGATTTCCAGGCCAGCTCTAACCCAAAGGCTCTTTTAGCTCCTACTCTGAGGGCAAGGTCACCATCAGTGGCCCAGCTTGAGCTATCTTCACAAGATGTGTTGTAAAATGTGGCAGGCATCATTGACTATCAGCCCCGAATATCAGCCTTAAAGGACAGGTTTGGCCAAAGATCAAAGTTCAGGCAAATGGTTTTTGGTATCTTCAAGTGGCAAAAATATGGAATGCAGAGTATTTACCCTGGATCCTCACCAACACCTGCACTGAGCTGTGATGGCAGCAAGGCAAACTGTCAACAGCACAGCACAGGGAGGAGCTGAGAGAGAAAGGGTGAGCATATCTCTGAACGGGAGCTTGCTGGTTTGACCTTTCTTGTCTACACATGCATCACCTGACACCTGCTCCCACATGTCCAGCACACCAGGGTGTAGTAAACATGCAATAAAGCCTTGCTCTAAAAAGCATCAGAGAGAAGAAAGCTCAGTGTCCCCTCTAAGCACAATACTATCATGAACTTAAAGCATATCACTTTAACACTGAAGAGATCAAGCTTTTAGCAGCTGCGGATATAGGCCAGGACCTTCTTCAGGACCTTGCAGCTTCCCTGTTTCTCACCAAATACAGGCTTTAAAGCACTGCTCTTCAGCATTGCTGAGCTGGCACAGGGAGTTGGGAAGGTTACCTTTTCCTACCTCAGCTCATGAAAACCATGCTGCTTTGATTTGCAGCCCCCAAACTTCTGAATCATGCAAACACTTGTCAGCCAGTTGCTGCTGAAAAGACAAAGTGGTAGCTTCAGATTCAAATGCAAATGTTGTTGGAGAGCATCTGAAATAAAAATCGTGTTCAAAAGTTGAAGGTCCTTTTTCAGTCAAAAAACCTTGAACTTCCCCAAAGAAAGCATGAAAGAGGTGGCTATAGAACCAGCAGTAGATAAAACACCTGCTTTCTGCAAAACTATCTGGAGGATCTGCATGTCCCATCAGAGTAATTTTGGTGCTAGAGGAAGAGGAAGGGGAGGAAGATTGTTCAGTCTGCTGCTCTCAGGGGAATCCTGCAACAGAGAGGTTGCTATATTAACCACTTCACTGTTTTGTGCCAATCTTGTTATCTGTTCTTGTTAAAACCTTTATTATTCATGGATGCAAAAATCCGATCATTAAAGCAGCATAAATATTCATACTATGTGCATTTCATTTATCTACTTGGCAAAACTTCTCTGGAGGATAAGAGTTTTGAGGAAATCTGGCTAATGAGACCATAGCATAGGAAGTATGCATGAGTTTTCCTTTTCTTTTCACCTGCAAATGAATGCAAAATAACTAATGAAATAAACAACCACAAAAAGGGTAAGAATTCACCAGACAGGATGATATGCACACTTGATTTGGCTTCTGTGCCAAGGGGAATGCAAGGGTTTTTGTAATGCAACTATGTGCAAGAGCCAGGATATTGTAAAACTAAAGTAGAAAGCATGATAAGCATCACTGCATGGGTTTATCGGCTTTGCCTCACATTTAAAGTCTAACCATTAACATTGTGCATGGTCCACACTCCTGTTCAATCCTTTCTTAAGCTAGAACTGCCATTCTTCTCTCTGCAGCTGTGCTAAATCAAAATGTAGCTGTATTCCACCCCGTGAAAGTCACTGTATCTACTCTTCATGCACTCCACTTTCAAGATCTTTTTGATGGCAGAGATAAAACAAAAATTTCCTCCCAAAACAAATTCTAAAAACTGCCATTAAAACAACTGCTACACAGAGCACTCAGCAGCTGAGGAAGATCTCTCACAAGGGCCTGGTTCATCAAAATCCTGAGCTGCCAGCTCCACGTGCAGCAGCTCCAGGAGAAGCCTTGCAGAATGCAAGACTCCAAAGTTATTCCTGTTTTAGAATAGCAAGGTGAGGTGTGTATTTTTAAATGCTAATGAGTTTTCAAAACTGAGCAACATCGGCCTGAGTCAATGGGAAATCTTTCCTTGATTTCTGCAAGCACAGACCAGAGAATGCAATCAGGCACTTTCCAGGTTTTCTATTTCATGTTTTTACGAATTTCCACAAATAAACAAGTCTATTCACAGGCAATTTCCACCAGTAACTACTTCAGCTAACAGATTTATCTTGAGGGAGGGAACCAACAGAAAATCTACTTAGCACAAGAATTTTTGTAGTATCTCTTCTTTTTGAATTTTTTTTAGAGTTTACTTTTCCATCCAACAAGACTTTGCTTTAAAATCTTCTATGTGATCTAAGGGAAAATTTAAACAAAAATTTAAATTGGTGATATTTCAGGTTGTTTGATTAGCAGGAGCAAATAAAATGTGCTGAAAGCAAGCACAAATAGCCACATATAAGAGCTGCCTGCACTGCAGCATTTACAGTGAAGACTCTGTCTTGGTTTGGGCTCTTATGCATACATCTGTAATAGAAAGTTGAATCGGGCTTTAAACTAAATTTCCCAGTAAAGGCAAACGCTAACAAAAATAAGAGTTATAAGGAAGGAGGTACTTTTGATACCTGTGCTGTTAAAACCTGTAAAAAATTTAGCCAACCCAGCTGATTACCACATCTCTAACCTGTATAAATCAAAGTTTTGTTCTAAATTAATAAAACCACTTTGGCACACAACTATATTACAGCAGTATGATGCATGCCTGAGTATTCCTAAGAATGCCCTCAGAGGTACTCTGTGAGCAGAAATGTTCTGCAGAAGGGAAGATGAGGGAGTACAAAGGCCCATTGTGCACACTAATGCAGAAAAATGAAATCAAATACCATTCTCAGCAAAAGCAGAGTATCTTCTGAGCAAAGGCTATTAAGTGTGTCAGACTGCAGGATATTTTCTGGACATGGATATCCTGTTAAGACATACTGAACATGTGTCACAACCCTCCTGGTTGTAACATCGCAGCTCCAGAGGAAAAAAAATGGTGCACCAATTCTTTGTATCAAATACTCAGACAAACTTTTCTTCTCACTAAGCTGTCACTTCTCATTTTAAAAGAAGGTTAGAGTAAGTTATAATTAGTATTTGTTGCCCTGTCGAGTAATTAAATATAATAAAAAGCTTAATGCTAACACAGTGTAATTGCAGTAGTTTTGAAAGCACAGTGCATGTACTACAGGTTTTGGTATGTACTCCCCACCTTTTATGACCTAAATTCTCAGGTTCAATCTATCATATGAGTAGTGAGCAGACACTGCCAAAGACAACTATTTCAGAACGAAACACAAATCAACAGCAATGCAATCCTGTACTTTTTGAGAGTTACTACTGTATCAGCCTCTGGGGGCAGGGTGGAAGGAAGGAGAAGGAGAAAGCCATCCAGTTTCTTGCTTCCACTTTTCTACCCCTTCCCTTCAGGAGGACACCTTGGTTCCATAAGGTCCCCTAATGAATTCTCCCTTTCATTAGGCTCAGCTGCTCTGAGCCTTTTTGGTAAAGAAAGATATGGCTAATATTTCAAAGCCACTTCTCAGACTTCCTTGCCAGTCTGAGAGACATCCTGGGAAGAGGGGGACTGCATCTGCCCTATTTGCACAACTCTGGGGCTGGCTCTACTCTTCAAGTAAGAGTTGCACCTTACAACCACTTGTTACCCAAGGGAGGAAAATCATTTGCAAGGCCCAGAGCAGGGCAAAGTGATGATGTAATGTACTAGCACTTGGCTGATACAGCTTCTTACCCTCTTAAGTATTTGGAAGAGCTTTAAACACATTAAAAAGGGTGAAGAGCAGAGATCTGCCAGGGCATTAGTAGTTACAGCTCTAGGTACTCAGTTGTTGTGCCCGTAAAGTGGATTTTTCACCCATTCCCATTTATACTCAAGTCCTATCCTGTCCCTGGAAACATTCAAGGTCAGTTTGGATGGGGTTCTGCGGAACCTGATCTAGTGGAAGACATCCCTGCTCATTGCAGGGGCATTGGACTAGAAGACCTTTGAAGGTCCCTTCCAACCCCAACCATTCTATGATTCTGGGTAAGGTAGGTATAAGCAGCCCACAAAATGAAAATGCAGTTAATTAAACAAAAATGTAGTCTAAAAGAACCAATTAAAATGATGAAAATCTTTAATTTTATTTAAGTATAATTGTACGGACACATGTATATACAAATACAGATCTTATGGGGCAAGGTGTTTGGGTGGATTTTTTTTTTTAAACGTTTTAAGTTTATATAATGTAAGCATTTCAAAAACAGCACTCAATGAGTAAGTGCAAAGAAACTGCAAAGCAGGGCAGTACAAGCACAGGATCACACTGAGCTGACTTTCATACCCAGATGCATACACAATGAATGTCTTCAATGGGGTGTCAAGAGTAAGCATGGTAAGTGGATTTTCGCAGACTCATGGGTAACCTCCAACATGCCAGCATATATTAAACTGTACAGACAATGGCAGCAAGCCTATTGTAGGGAGATTTGTCTCACATCTGAGAAGCTCGAGGGCGAATGCATGGGAAAAACTCAGTGATGCCAGACCAGAAGCAGATCTGCCCATTCACAGTTTCAAATTAAAAGAGGAGGAGGGTGGGAGAGGAGGCAGGGCAGGAAGAGGGAAGAGAAGTGTGGAGGGTTGTACATTAAAACTGGTGATTACAAAATCCAAGTGTAATGAAAAGAGGGTAAGAGTTAATACTCTAAACCTCTGAAAGTGGCTGAACCATTGCACTCATTAGGCAATGGATTAAGTTCAGTTTTGAGGGCTAGAGGTGGGAATCAACAGGTACAAACACTACCATTTTCCTTTCATAATTATGGAGGAAAGGAAACAATGCACTCAACTACTCTCAGTACTTCCCAAATTTGCTTCTAGTTCTTTTGGAACCAAGTACATACATATATCGCACATGACACTGGTAAGATCCCTTCTGGAAAAAACTATTCATGGGAACAAATCCAGAAGGAAAAGAGGAGGAAAAAAAAACCTAATTAAAAAGAAACAAACAAACAAAATAACAGAAAAGTTGTTATATCCCCAAAGCCTTTTTAGAAACAAACATGATACAAAAGAACAAAACTAACACAAAAACCACAGGGCTCCAACATAAGACCTTTACACACGGAGGATAAAACTTTGATCATCAAAAGTCATGTTCCAGGTCTTGACATTGTGAAGTCTTGCAACAGATGAACGATTTTTGAATATGAGTCCTGTATGCTGCAGTGTCATGGCCACTTGTCTCTCAGTTCTCAGCCATGATCACACTTGATGCTTCAAAACTCCTGGAAATCTTGTTATCAACACGTGATTTTAATATCCTGAAAGCCTATTGTTCTCACTTACAAAAGACATAAGAATCAAATTAATACTTTATTATCAAACACTATATACAACAGAGGTTGCTAATAATACAGAATTTAAAGAATGTAGCTTTAAGTTTTACTTGTCTTTCCTTCGCCATCCAGGTAAGTACAGTACAAAACAATATTCTAAACTAACATGAAATGTTACCTTTTCTATTGAAGGATACACAGTATCCACTAAACTGACTGATCCCTATTTCGCCTGCTTCACATTGCAATGCCCTTGGCAGCCAGGAGTGCAGGTCATGGGTGCAAGTAACCCACTATGGCTGGGGAGAATCAGTACCTCAGACTTGAGCAGGGGCAGATGAAGAGTAAGGGAGCAACAAACTCCTTGATTTTCAGCAACATCTGCACTTAAAGCATCCAGAGGTTTGCAACACTAACCCACTAACATTTATGTATTTGGTATGACTGGGATTGCCTAATGCCATCAAGTATGAAACTGGCAGTGCCTGGAATGCTCCTTCCAGCCATGCTGGGCAGCCCAGGGATCATCACTTGTGTTGTCCCTCACATATGCAGCAAGGCTCTGGGACAACATGAAGGGTTGAATTTCACCAAGAGTAACACTAGTGACAATCCTTTGCTGTGGGTAAATGGATGTCTTCAACGCCATTCAAAGACAAAGGATGACAAATGTCACCATTTCTACATCAAATCTGCACTACCTGTGTGACTGCCTGCAATTTCTGTAAATCATTTTAATATGGTTACACATCATGCAATATTATCTGTACGCTGGTTAACAATTTGATAAGGTGCATTCTGATTAAGCTCACCTCATCCAAAGCTTTTTAATTCCTACCTACAGAAAGTATTAGTGTATCAAATATATACACCTTAAAGAGAGCAAAGTACCGTACAGCCTGTAATAAGATGATGACTTCCCTCACTGTTTGGACTGTGTATCTTTATTCTGTGCACTTCACACTAAAGTGAATTTCCTGCATTCCTCCTGTAGGTCCTGTATTCATGAACATGTATGGTATCAGGCAAGCCCAGGTCATAGCTCAGCATGCATAAAACCTCCCTTTACATATCAAATTTATTTTCCCCTCTCCTGCCTCAACTTCTGGAAGGCCTTTCTTCATTTAAAAATATAAAGTCTATAAAATAGTGTCCACTAATGGCATCACTCAATTTTGTTATGGCAGAAATTTTCTTCATAATTAATATAGAAAAATCTTGTTTTGCTTGAATATGCTCCATGTTTTGTTTCACGATAATTACCACAGCTTTTGTCAGAAAAGCTCTGTTTCAGTCTGGGTCTGAAGTTTCACTGATTATGCTTAGCAGTCTGAATTTCATGGCAGCCTAGCCAAAAAATAACCCAAGGCTTGCACTTCCTGGCAAATTACTTTTTAAAGTTTTGTTAGTCAAGGCTCAGATTCCTTAAACAGGGTCACTCCTAATTTCATCAAGGGTTACCACTTCTCTCACGTTTAAATAGAACAAGTATATATACTCACTCTCAGCATAAAGTATATCTAAATAATGTGTTTTCCATTCTAGTGGATTTTTAAAAAAATATTTTGTTAAGTCTTTGGGAGCCCATCTAGTTTATCGCCGGCTGATAAATACGTTTCCTCTACTCTTCACACTGTGCTGGAAGGGGAAAAGATAAAAAATCAACATTGAATTTATATTCCACACTTTTCTTTTCCCCCACCAAACAATGCTATTAGACTGCCCTGGCTTCTTCTACATGTGATTTATTCCCATGATTGAGGAACTTACAGGAGAGACAAATCAAGACAACACTGGAGATCCTATGTCCCAAACATGTTTCCTCCTGGCACCGATGTCCTCTTTTAGCATGTATTAACACCCAGAGCAGCATCCAAGGCTATCAGCTACTAAGTCAGCACTGGGGAAGGTCACTTTATTCTCAAAAGTGCCTCTGCATTTCAAGAAAAAAATTTTAGCACCACGGTGATTTGTTTTAAAATAAAATAAGCCGGTGTGCATTATCCCCTTAAAACGAAATAACAGAGGCACTCACACCCCCAGTGAAGTTTCCTAAATCCGATCTTGCCTGCTGTGTGCTAACATTCCTAAATACTAACTTTTTCCTCTCACCAAAGACAGCATTTCTACTTGTGAGCAAAAGTTTTACTCTCAAAGATTTTTCAAGAGACCCACAAGAAATATCATCTTCCCCTTTCAGAAGCCTGTTCATTTCTGGAGGAAATGGTGTTATGTCTATTCTTAATATCTCCCATCCAGTCCTGACATGGTGACACATGCATGACCATCTTACAGTGCTGAACTAGAAGGCATAAATATTGTATCACAGAGAAAGACTCTCCCAGGCTTTCACTCTCTTTCCTTACCCCTCACTGACTGCATCTGCCACTACACTTTCTTGTCCATATATGGATGACACAGTGAGCTAACAGAGGTGACTTCTTAAAGGAGAATGCAGAAGAAAGTAAGAATCACTAGTGTCACTATTATAGTTTGGCATTTTCATTTGGAGTCCTTTTATTTATATGGAGGGGTTAAGAAAGTCACAGGGTAGGTAGGGGTGGGTGCTGAAGCTAGTTATCCCCTTCAAATTTTTGCTGAGTTTAGGCTAAAAGGGAGAAGAAAAGGGAAAAATAACAATTTGACATCTGCAAAAACAATGAAGTCCCTTTCCTGGGATGAGCAGTTAGGTGGATCTTTGATGTTTGAAGACCCTGGTATTTTCTGTGACAGGTTGCCGGAGCATACTGTGCTATAATATCAAAAGCATTGCCAGGAGGAACAACAGAGTTGCCAAAAGCTGGCTGGGTATCCTTGGTGTCTGTGCTGCGTTCTCCCCACGGGATGGCTCAGCTGACTCATGTACGGTATCATCTGTTCAAACAGAAAGCATACATTCCAATGAGACTTTGCATCCTTAATAAACTCTCACTGAGATGACAACTAGAAGTAGATTTCAGTGCCTTTACGAAATAGGGCAATGAACCTTGTGCTGTCATTGACTTTCACAAGCGTGTAATACCTCATTATGTAACCAACTCGGGGCCAAGTCCTGCATTTCTTACTGGCAAAACTCCCATTGAAGACCAGAAGTATAGAAAGTAAGTCAGATTTCAGCAGATTGAGGAATGAAAGATTCCTTTTCAGTAAAACACTGTGGTTCTAGCTTTGGATGTCTCATTAGATAGCAACATCAGTTGGGAGGCAGCTAAATAAAAACACCTGATTTTCAAAAGTGTTGCACAGGCCCAGAATTAATTTTGCAGTTAGTCTCCTTATTCAGTTACAGATTTTGGCTCCTGAATTTGAAATGACAGCCTGTAAGCCCAAGCATAGACCCCCACCTTCCATACACAAAATTTCCACTGAAGTATGTTGCATCTAGGGATGAGCAGGGGATGAGCAGGAGATGTAAGATCACTCCTTCTTTCTTGAAATAAAATTTTAAAGGCTAACACATGACAGTCACCAATCTTATAGAATATATACTCAATCTGGAAAATCTCACTACCTTTCATGGTACACAAAATAGAGATTTACATATATGCTGCTAGAACTAATGAAAAAAGAACCAGCTGAGTTAGGAAAACATGCTTATGCATTAGTGGCAGAAGAAAACAAGGTAACAAATACTAAATATATGACACATAATAAAGAAAACCCTGTTAACTTTTTGTAAACTTAGGATCAGCCTAAAAGCCAGAGCTTATAAAATAGAAAAGATAGGCAAAGTCCAAATCAACTTTGGTGTTGTTATAGCAGTGGTATTTTTCTCTGCAAAGCCCCCCATATCCTCCATATCCAAAGCTGTCTAATTTAGCTATTCAAAAACAATCAGTCTATGGCTTGCCATAAAAATCAGCTCTTGTTTTTCATTACTAAATGAAAAGAAAAAGCCAAACCTTTGTAGGAAGTGTGAAGTGGCCTCAAAATGTATCTGTAAGTTTATTTTAGAACACCAAAGTATCTCATCTACTTAATGAAATAAGCATAGTATCTCATCTACTTAATGAAATAAGCTCCCTATTTTATAAGAGATATTCATATGTCGATGATGTTCCTGTCTCAGGTCCCATCTCAAAAAATTGCACTGCCAAGATTACATTGGGTGAGACCTGAACAGTTCCAGCTAGAGGCACTAAGGGAAGCAGGAGTCAGGATACTGGGATCACCATGCTGCTTTGTCATGGAGCCTTTCATGTTGCTTGGCTTTAGCCACAGGCAAGCTCCCTCTGTTTCATATCTTTGATACCTAGCACAAAATCAGGAGAGCACTTAGCATAATTTAGGTTAATAGGCTCTTCAGCCCCAGCTCAGTTACACAGCAAGGTGCACAGTAAACCAAATTAGCAATTTATCACATGCACTTTCTCCAGCACTAACTGATGCTATAATCACATAAGGCAGGTTTTCAGTGCTGCTCATGGCAAAAGTATGAAAAGCAAGCACTGATTAACTGTAAATATGTTCATGTTTATGAGAAAGAGACGTCTCTTCTTGGTGGTACCAAGCAATAGCATAAGAGGCAAAGGGCAGAAACTGATGCACAGAAAGTTACACCTGAAGAGGAGTAACTTCACGGTGTAAGTGACTATGCACTGAACAGTGTCCAAAGAGGGTGTGGAGTCTTCCTCACTGGAGAGACTCAAAAGCCATCTAGACATAACCCTTAGTACCATGCTCTAGGGGACCTGCTTTTGTACAGAGGTTGCATTAGATGACCTCCAGTGGCCCCTTCCACCTTACCCATTCTGTGATTCTGTGGCGTCAGTGGCAAAGTCTGTCTGGAATGGCTTAAGTTGCAGTTCCGCACCATGTAAGGCAAGGAGACCCTCCCAGCATATTGGACCCAAATAAGGTGGTTATCTTTTCCTCCAGAATTATTCCAAAGGAATCTAAAAATATCACTGAACGCTGGCTTCTGAAAATGCTATATTCAGTAATCATCAACACCAAAAGCTGTTTCACATTTCACTTCTGAGTTACAGCCTTGCACTATGGTGACAAGGCAATGACAATAGAGTACTTCACAAAAGCTTGCTTCTCAATTAAAACGTATTTAAGAAGTCACAGGGAAAAAATACCTGTGTTGCCAGTTCTGCCTCCTTTCATATATTTAAAGTTAGCTCTTACTATTTTAGAAACATTTACTCACTGCTGATGAACTAAAACTACAGAGGAGAATAATACCTTCTACCTCTAGAATTGCAAATAAGTTTGAATTTTCAACACTGAATGTCAACAATTTTGGCCTAATTACATCAGTGAGTCAGCGCTAAAACACAATAGGGCAGAACTAGTATATAGCAGCAATAAATCCTCATTCTCACTGACTATCAGATACTGCCATGACTGGAACACTGACTACTAACTCAATGAAAAAGCACTAAGCTAAAAAGATTACTTCTCTTAAATGAAAAATATGGAGACATTCTATGATGCCATTTTTATAAAGCCATTCTTCACAGAAGAATTAATTTCCAAGTAACATTACGGGATTCCTTTTGAGAAATCATCTGGGTTTTCTCTCAATGCTCTTGCAAGGTTTCTGCACTCATATATTAGAACACGATTAATCTTCAGTTATGAAAATCACTTTACCAATATGATTTTCCTTGGAGGTGCAGAGTCATAACTGCACAGCCTTTAAGGCTTGGGGAAAAGGGTTTGCTTCATTTGAAACACTGAAGACAATTGATGAAGAAGAAAAGATTCCTGAGTAAAATCCAGAAGGTCACTACTAAACAATGGGAATACCAGCAGTACAGAAAAATATATTTTGACAGCCATGAATTTTTCAGATCACACAGCCTTATATCACATGCTTCAGGTATAATTTTCAGACATGCACAGCTGCTATTTTTGTTTAAGGACTTTTTCTTTTTAATTATTAAGAAGAAACAGAAAGGACGGAATAGGAATAGAGACAATTACTTCCACCACTTGCGAAAGTGCAATCACTGTAGATTCCTACAAATTTCTGAACAAAACCAGTGAAATTACAAGGGTTCAAAAATCACACAAATGGTGATTTTTACAAGAAAGATGACAGTGAGTAATCTGCTGAACATGACCCTCCTGCCTCCTGATTCTTGTGTCTACTGTGGAAGAAGACCGTGACAGGCTAAGGGAGAGCACAGAAGCAGAAGATGCTCGTCAGAGACAGGTAAATTAGTACATGAGACAGAACACATGCAACAAGATCCACCAAGACAGTAGCAACCCTAACAGGCCAACAACAGAGAAATGTGACAGCAGTTGGCACATCTCAGAGTGACTGATTATCTAATGGTGACTGGCCCAATTAATAATACAAATATACATTGATATCAGGAGTGGGAATTTTGTGGTACCAAACCTTTTCATTAAAGCTATTATTTCCCCCTGGTAACACAAACAGTATTTAATCTCAGACTGCAGGATGCTCTTTGTTTGATTTTGCTTGCCTGGTTTGCCTGCTGCTTTCTAATGATTTTGTGATGATGTTAGCTAGTTATAGCCAATCAGTAGGAACTGAGAAACACTGCTGAAACAAAAATTTATCAAATTTACCAAAATCAGACATGTATTAATCAGAAGAGATGATCTCTTTTGCAAGCAGTATCAGGCACATTAATTAGACCATGTTGATCAAATCACAAAATGTAAAAAAGTGCACTGAATTTCAAATTCATAGGTAGAGACAGTGAGAGAACATCCTAGTGTCTTCTGTACAAAATGCTGCTACTGTATAAATACAGCCAATGTAAGTGCATTATCCTTGCATTTAGATTTACTTAGAAAACATCTTTGATTCACAAACTCCAAATTTTTAGGAAAGAGCTGACAACTATTCTAAAGAAAAATAATAAATTCTATCATTTATCCATAGGTAAATCATTTAAATCAGCTAAATTGTAAAAGCCTTATTATACTTATGTATAATGAATGAATTTTAATTAAAGGATCTGTATGTAAAAAAGAAAAAAATTCATGTTGTTTTATATGCAAAGAGAATGTTGCTTCACATTCAAATAATGAATGTAAGAGAAAAAAATCTCAGTAACCTGTTCTTTAGGGTATGTACTAAGTGATACATGTGTAATATTTTCTGATATTATTTGTGTATTTGACTATTTATTTTCATTACTGAGGCTTTAATACAACACGTAAGTATGGTGTAGGTAAAATGAACAGGTCTACCACTACTGCAAATATTTTTCCTACATACCTACCTAATTTTAACTCCTTTTAAGTTGTTTGGGTTGTTCATACCCCTAGAATTATATACACTTCTATCTGTCACAAGCTTCAGTCACACAAACAATACATATGCACTTCCCACATGGAGACACTGTAGCTTGATTGATGGTGCAAGTTAATGTAACTTTTCCCTGGGCAGATGAAGAAAATCCTTATCCCTAAGACAGTATTTTGCAAGAAAAGCCCCCCAAAGCTTCAGTTTCCTTCAATAAAAGCAGGAGAGAAATTTATATTTATAAATTTACCTACATATCAGTGTTTGTGAGTGTGTGCACATGCACATATGTAAAATGATACTTTGCCTAACGAAGTACATATACTACTATATAAAATTTTAAAGGACTAGTTTCTTTTTACACAAAAACTCAGTTGCATACCTGTGTCATGCACTGGCATTCAACAAGAAGTGGTCCTGTTTTTCTGAAAATCTTTTGAAACCACCTAACAAATGAAGTGCGCCCATTGAATTTATTTCTAAAACTTTGGGTCCAATTAGCAAATAGAGTGTGTTGCCAATATGCTGAGTGTTTGGCTTGAATGGGCCAGTGGCTCCAGTATGCCAGCAGAAATTTTACACTGGCACACACCAAATTTTGCTAAATCATGTCACCCCAAAAAAACCCACACAAAGCAACATTTTTACTTCCCTGAATTAAACAAGGATACAGGAAGTATACCACAGGCTGTATTAGCACTGCTAGAAATGTGCAAAAGCAGGGCAGTTGTACCATGCAAAGCATGCAGAGAGAAGAGGAAATAAAGTACTGAAGCACCAGAGGGATACATGCATTTGTTAAAAGAGATTCTCTAAGCATACTAACCTGCTGGTTCTAATGAATTTTCTACTTTGTCGTTAACATCGAAAACACGATCATGAACACCTATAGTTTTCATACAGCTGTCTATAACAAAAATAGAGATAACAGCCAAATACGTTAGTCAAACACCCTTACACTCCCCACTTTCCTTTTTTCCCTCTTTTTTTTTTCTCTCTATTTACTATACATAATTAGGCATATCCATATTTTAAAGTCTGTGGCACTTGTCCAAATGCCAGTAAAAGTCTTCCATTTGTACAAAGTTCAAGAAACAACAAGCTAGCAACTGCTAAGTAATTCAAACAAAACTTTATGAAAAATGATAAGAAAATACAATGAAAACCATAACACAAACATTGCTGTATGTAGAGAACAGATACAAGATTTAACCGTAAAAAGGATGAATTTATTATTTACTAGACTGCACAGTAAAGCAGGTGCTAGAAAGCCACCCTCAAAATCTTAATCTGAAGAACTTACTTGCTGGTCGCACAAACACCTTAAGCTTTAGGCAGGATCTCCTTCCATTATCTGGGATCACAGAAGCTATAAAATGAAGAAAAAGGAAAAGTAAGTGGAAGAGTAAGAGAGTGAAAATCCACAATATCTTTTGTGCTGAAATAAAATATTCTTTCTCTTTCCTTCATCTGAAGGACTGGACACACTTCAATCCCTGAACATAAGGACTTCAAGTGCACAAAGTGGCTTGATTATCCAAAAGCATATAATAACTGTAGATTTTATTTAAATTAATTTCTTTATCATTTTACATGGATGAAGTGAAGAACATGCTACTTTCAATGTCTCATTACCGCCTTTCACCTTTCCATACCTTCTTCTTGAACGTTTGTTTAATATGGTTTTTGCTATAATGCATGTGTCCACATTGAAAAAATACGTCAGAATACAGAATACTCAGAGAAAAGCTAACCTTGAAATTTTAGACCATAGTCTTCCACAATCCAAAAAGGGATGAAAAAAAAAATTACAACAAAGATGACAGTGGTAAAAATGGAAGTATCTATATATTCCATCAACGTAGAAACACACACCATTAAATTTTACAGCAAACTCAGTCTCCATATGCATCGGTCTTTATTGAGGAAATACTTATCTACTTCAGTCAAAACATGATCCCTTTGTTATATAGCTAACAAAACAAAATCAATTTATTCCTACTTTCTGCCCTCCCTCATAATTTCCTCATAATAATAAAAGTATTTAATTTTTAAGAATACTAACTGTATTAGGAGAAAAAAATTAAGTGGAAATATGTCTAGCCCTAATGCAAAAGGTCACCCACAAAAGTCTAGTGGCAACATCTACTGATTTCACAGAAAAAAGTGCTATTGTAATAACTTCCTTTCTATAACCATTCTTGCCTCAAAATACAAAGTAATAGGGAAATATGCCTGCCTCTCACCATGAGGGTATCCCTTGGGCCCATGAGGGTATCTGTCTGCCAACATTTACACACCAGTAAATTTCCTCAGTATCTGCAATTCTGATATTGTACACTGGCCCACAATTCAACATACACAATCAAGTAACTTGACTTGGGCATGAAATCTTCATTGTAAAAGACCATTCACATTTTTTTTCTTGAAAATGCCTCAAGATCTATTGTTAAAAATATTACCTGAAGCACTGAAGAGGACCTTTTCTTTCATTGCATTCAACATCTACGTATTAGGGCAGAATGAATTGCATTTTGCATTAAATGGCCACTACTGGGAAAGATGATTGGCCTGACAAGATGTTAGTTTCCTCTGTTTACCCTTATTTCATTCATGTCCTTGTGTGTGACAAACAACTAAAACAACTTATACATAGACATATGAACTCTTTGTCTTCATGTTAAGCTTACAACAGAATGGCTCCTCAACTAATTTGAAATAAATTTCCTAAGTCTTCGATGATGTGCTTGCAGGACAGGCATCCAATTTTTCCTAAAACTTACCAAGAACTAGCAAATTCAGTGCAACCACAAAAAAGGAGCCAAGTAAAGAATCTAATACAGTTCATGCTGTGATTCTGCATTTTGAATTTTGTTGAAAAATTGTTCCCCTCTTTTAGTCAAAACAAAAAGCATGTAGAAATGATGCTCTCGTCCCACACTGCCAAGCAGTTAACAACTGCCTTTGACTGTAGCATCTTACCAAGTCAGAAAATTTCCCTCCATTGAGTTTGCAGTAACTGGTGTGTTATTTGGGGCACAATATTGCACTCTGTGGCTATCTTCAGGAAATTATGTCATTTTGGTGACTTTTACTGAATATATGCAACTGGCTAGTTACTTTGTTAGGACTAAACAGGCAGTTGTAGATTTCTCAAAAGGTAAGAGTACTATAATCATTACCAAATGACTAGGATAGAGGTGAAAATCACATTTCCAGTATGACTGAACTGAATGCCTATAGTAAATTTATCACTGACAGATTTTTTATGCCCAGAAATTATTTCAGAGGTACATTATGGCACATATTTATTTAAAGTCAAGTTTTTGCTTTAATGCTTACCTGCTCTTGCTTATGTCCATAAAATAAGCATGTTTTGTTTATTTAAGCTGCTGTTTATTAGAATACTCTGTTAGTCAGTGACTAACTAGAATACCTGACTAGCTAGGATAGCTAGAAGCTAATAATATCCCATCTGGGAATAAAATCTATTCTTTCTGGGAAAACAGAAAATTAATGCTTAGTACGGAAAACTAATGCTTAGTACACTGAAGTTCATATGTTCACATAATATTTACACACGCATAGGAGCAAATAACACCTAGTGATTTGCCATATTAAAAAATAAATGGGACAAAAGAGACAAAAAAAATAAATTTATTCACTGTTGAAATACTTCCCACCAGTCTTTACATTCTCTTGCAACTGTAGAGTATATCATGAAGAACTGTCCTATTACAACCATAACAGTTGCACTTAAATCATCATTCCAGAAACCGGCACAGTCTTAGCAAGAAATTTGAAATAGTGCTTTTCTTCATTCCAGGGAAATTATGTATTTTCAATGTTTTCTGTAAACTCATAAAGATTCCTCTTTAGTCAGTGTTTTACACCTTCAGAAGGAAGGTACAACAAGCAATTTCTTTCTCCTTCCTGAATGAAATCAGGTTGGACCCTAAGGCTTTGGTACAAGGCTTTTCTATTTGCCCATTTTAAAGATGATATTAGCTATAAAATACAGGCCAGTTCTGAGAGCAAGAAGCTAATGGAACCTGTCCGAAGTAACACTTTCCATTTCAAAAGCCAGAATTTCCACAGGAAAAAAAAAAAGGCAGTTGATTCCTTGGTGCAAAACAAAAAAGAAACCTGTGAAAAAACTCCCTTAAAAAGAGCAAAATATGTTATATCCACTTATTTTTTCATTAATTGTATTAGTCTAGAAAATATCTGACTGGTTTAGTTTGTGTCAGGAAGAATCACAATTGAAAACAGAGGAGGAACTCTGAAGTGTTGCTAGTTCCTACATGTTATTACAATTCCTATGATACTTCCCACTTACACTGCCCTACCTCACCTTTGCCAGCAACTTCATGAAAAATCTCCTGGGTCTCACTCTTAAAAAAATGTTTTAGACCTCATGGTTACACAAAGACTTGGGTGAGAAGAAAGTCAACACTAAAACCCCTCTGAAATCACAAGATATATGAAAACATCTCAATTATTATAAAAATAACCAGTTTGATATCTTCATTATTTTTTAAATAGGAAAATTCCACAGTTGAGAAGAAATTTAAGTCATGAGCTCTGTATTCTTCAGATGAGAATTCCATTGACATTAGTGGAACAAGGAATGAAAAAATGTACAATGAACTACTGCACACAGGACTAAGTGCAAGCTGGAACTGAAAACAGCCTATAATGACAAATTAGACGGGAAAACTTCTCGTCTCTGAAATGCTTCTGGTTACCATTTTTATACCCTGTAAGGAAAGGAAAGAGAGCGATAAAAATTACTCACTCCTCACCTACAGCCAAACCATAAATATTTCCATATTCACTAGCTATATTTAAATTAAAAAAAACAAATTTATACAACTCCCTCATCTCCCTCCTAAGTACATGGTACTTTATTAATATATTAGATATAAATAACAGGTTAAGTCCTTCCTCAGCCTAGTAACAATTCGCAGAATTATTAAATGACTGCAGAAAGCAGCAGCTAGAGAATAAAAAAGTAGCATATACAGAAAACAGTTACGCAGTTCAATTTACTATGATAAATCCCCAAAACTATTAAAGGAGTTATCAAGATATGAAACAATCAGCATACAAAATAAGCTAATTAAAAAGTAAACGTAAAAAATAAATAAATTAAAATTTCAAAAGTAACTTCGTTATCAGGACCTCCTATTGATGTGACAAAAGCAGCAATTATTTCCTTTCCTAAGAGAGGCGACAGTTTCACTGGCAAATACCTGAGGCTAAGTTTCTAACCTAAAAGCAACTTATCAGGATGCCACATTTAAAATGTCTCAACCATCCTATTTATTGATATTCACATGTAATCAGTCTCTGCTTGCCTCCTCATTCATTCTTGACTTTCTAATTACAGGACTGCACTTTTCCCTAAAATGCAAGTCCAGATACAGAGAAAAAAAAGGAATCACAAATGCAGTTCAAATCCTCCTTTAGCACTACAAAGACATTTAACATTCATGGCACAAGCCACTGTGGGCCTTATTAGCAAGCGAAACTGGTTCAGTTAGAACCAGCACTCCATTTATCTGAGGCACTCCAACGGCACCTTTTTTTACAATGTGGGGACAGTGGTAAAGAACATCCTTTCCCTATGCAACACAACACCCTCCCCATTCCACTGCAGATACTCTGCAGATGGCAATTCTCTTATTATTTTGTATTTTAATTTCTATCACCAGTTCACTTGGAATATTGTCCGAAGAGATTATAAAGTACTGTTTGTGAAACACAGGAGACAAGGCAATGTTCTCACTGCATTTTAGAAAAATGTGATCTGTTTTCTTCTGTCTGCTAGGAAATGCAGCAAACAGGGTTTCCTTGTAGGCAAGAACTGAGAAATCATGCCTCAATCATGCCTGAGAAATCTCACCTCAGTTCATTGCAGATGTACAATTACTAGAACCCTCTGTTACCCAAACTCTGGCTCTGATAAGTGCTTCCCAACCACAACCACTGAACAGACTGCCAAGTATTGTTTCAGAAGCCAACAGAGCATCATTTCTGAACTTTCCAGCACAATAAATCGAGATGCAACGTGCATATAGCTTAAGTAAATACCGAACACTTACTACCCAGTCAAAAGGGTTGTATACATAACTTCTGTAAGCACCTGGAGAAATATGACAAGGAGAGAACCTGCAGCAACCTAGTACACAAGATACTAGATGTTGGAGATCAGAAACCCATGTTTAGGCAGTTCTTGCACTCTCTTAGGCCTGCAATTTACAGACAATCTCTTCAGGAGAAAATACTTATAGCTGTGATTTGCCTCTAGGCCTTTCAGGCACAGTAGCACTCCCATTACTCAAATCCAATACCCAGGTAACCTTA